GTCTGGGCCTGAGGTGGGCACGGAATACCGCCTATATACGCAATCACGGCAAAGTAGAAGCAAAGGCTACACTTTGGTCAAACTGGAACCATTCTATCCTTTGGTTCCGGAACATTGCCATTATGGTTGAGCATATGAGCAACTTGTCATTTCGAACAGCTAACTAAAATATTTAAGATGCATATCTGAGGAATTATAATTTAAATAAAACTACCTACGGTAATTTTCATAAACAATATTAATAAAATTAATAGTTATTTTAAAGAAAGTATATTGTTTATATGCGCTAATAAAATCTCAAGATATTGACTTCAAGAGTGTTCGGGTTCAAAGGTGACGTGAGACTGCGAGGTATTGGCTTTGGAAAATGATGGAGAGAATGCACCTTAATGGCCTTGATATAGGCATTCTGGTGATATACTTTGTAGGAATTTTCGGCGCTGGCATTTATGTACGTGCTTAATTTTACTTATTTTGCACTGAATTGGCACCCTTAACGAAATATCTCGGCTGCAGTGTGCGGTATCATCGCACCAACCATACCGCATTTAAAAATTGGTGCGGCTCTTGATTTACCGACTGTTTTTATTGTGTCCTGCATCCAGGCTATGTTCCGGGCTAACAGAAATTCAGTCAATGGTTATTTTTTGGCTGGCCGCTTCATGACATGGCTTCCGGTTTGTTTATAATTTCTGCCTAGATTTTTTAGGTCGGTGCATCACTTTTTGCCAGTAATATTGGAAGCGAACATTTTATTGGTCTCGCCGGTTCAGGAGCTGCGAATGGGATCGCTGTGGGAGCCTTTGAGTTCAATGTAAGTCTTTTGTTTATAGAATAATAGCTTCTTCAGTTATAACGTTAATTATGATTTCATTGGTTTAGCTTACATTGCGAATTCGTACGTTTAACAGAACCTACTGCTCTTGATGCCATTCTTTAGCCCCTGTATTTTTTTAACTAATTGCTGCATTTTTTTGTAACGGACATTCCCTCAATTTACTGTTAATATCATTCGACAAGTCGATTGTATTATGTAATTTTTAAAGACCCTGAATGTAATTTTTTTCCGATGTCGATTCTGTCACTTTTTTCGAAATTTCGATTTTTCAGTCTCTGACGTCTTCTGTTTAAAATTATTTTGCACTTCATGTCTGATCAAGGCTGCAGTGCTCCTTCAACTCCTTGGCTGGGTGTTTTTACCGGTGTATCTGGCAAGTGGATCAGTTACGCTTCCGGAGTATATGAAAAGGCGTTTTGGTGGAAGGAGGATTCAACTCTATTTGACGCTTTTATCCCTAATTTTGTACATATTCACAAAGATATCTGTAAGTTTAAAGAAATAAGTGACTGCTCCGAAATACCTTGCTTGCCGGCTTTTAAAAACATTCGCTTTCCCCTCAAAGATGAGGCTATTTTTTCATTAATTATGGATATCTTGTAATGCCTTCCTCGTACTTTAATTTTTTCTATCGTTTAGGTTAATTTGTACTCCGGTTCCCTATTTATAAACGAGGCTCTTGGATGGAATATTTGGTATTCCATTTTGTTTCTGCTTCTGCTGACTGCCATTATCACGCTCACAGGCAAGCAACCATATTATTTGAACTTTTTAATCCTTTAAACTTTTTGCCTTTTTGTTTTTACAAATTGTATAAATCCGCATTTGCAGGTGGTCTGGCTGCAGTTTTATACACGGACTTGGTACAGTGCATTGTCATGTTGGCTGGAGCAATAATTCTTACAGCCCTTGGTAAGCTTAAAATGAGCATACAACATTTTACTCAAACATTTTAATGCTAGTATCAAAATGTTGATAGTCCCTCATTATTGCTTTATTATATTTTTAGCTTATATGGGTTTTTTTCATGCTTGTTTGCCTTCAGTAGTGATGTAAAGAGAAAAAAGTATAGATTACAGGCTTTCATATACTATCTTTTAAATTGAGACCCTTTCATTGGCGCATTGAATGCGGACACTTACCTTTTCAAGAGAATTCCGAACAGTTTTTCCATGTAAGTTGTTTTTTATCGGCTTAATAATTCTAATTCTGAACAAAACATAGAATGCAGATTTCCTCCTAATCCGTATTTTATGTTAAGCAGCAGGAAGTAGCCGATTCCTCATTATTCCTGGCAGTTATCTCTGCTTTGAGGGCCCTTTTTTGACTAAGAATTTTGTAATTTTGGCCGTATGAGGCTACTATTTGACACAGTGA